CCACCCACCCTCACAGGTAACTAGAGTCAAAAAAACTTATAACAAGAAAGTAATTCTGAGGTCACTAGAGTTTACTTGTTTTCTACAATGGCTATTTCAGTCCTTTTTGCTGAAAAATACTGTGGGATTCTTTTTTTTTTTTTGAGTTGGAGTCTCACTGTGTCGCCCAGACTGGATTGCAGTGGCCGCTCCCGGCCACCGCAGCCTCTACCTGCTGGGCTCTGGCAATCCTTCCGCCTCAGCCTTCCAGGTAGCTGGAACTACAGGTGCGCGCTACCACGCCTGGCTAATTTTTGATTTATTGTAGAGATGAGGTCTTGCCAAGTTGCCCAGGCGGGTCTCGAACCCGCGGGCTCAGGCAATCCACTCACCTCAGCCTCCCAAAGGCACGGGATTACAGGCTGAGCCACTGAGCCCGGCTTCTTTTTTTTTTTTTGAGTTGGAGTCTCATTCTGTTGCCCAGGGTAGAGTACAGTGGCATACTCACGTTCACCACAGCCTCGACCTGCTGGGCCCAGGCGATCCTTCCACCTCAGCCTTCCAAGTAGCTGGAACCACAGGCATGTGCCACCACACCTGGCTAATTTTTCATTTATTTATTGTAGAGACCAGGTCTCACCAAGTTGCCCAGGCTGGTCTCGATCCCCTGGGTTCAGGCAATCCTCTTGCCTCTGCCTCCCAAAGTAATGGGATTATAGGCATGAGCCACTGCGCCCGGCCTCACCATGGGATTCTTTACTGAAGAAAGCAGCAGTTTTTCTCTGCTAGCTGCTGCTCTGCCTCTATCTGTGGGTCTCAGGTGCCCCTTGTGGCCTCCAAGGTAAGCTATGCCTCAGTTTCTCCTCTGACACATCCCTGCAGACCTCCAGGAGACCCTGGAGGAGATCCTTCCCAAACTGCAGGCTGAGAACATTCACTGCTTCTACCTTGGCCACGCCTCCCCTACGCTGGGGGTGAGGGCTCTGGGGGTCGCCCTGGATGCCGCACCTTCTCACCCAGTGCCTGCTAACCTGCGTGCTGGGATCACACGTCGAAGCCCTGCCCTGTTCATCTACACCTCGGGGACCACTGGTGAGGGTACCCCACAGCCCTAGCCCCAGCCTCTGAATCCTTACCCTGACCCCAAATTCAACCTGTGCCTCAATCTTGACCTCTGAAACCACCCAGCCTGTTGATCTTGACATTTGTCCTGGACTCTGTGTCCCGATGTGATTTGAGAAGTTACTGCCAGAATCCTGCCTCTGTCCAGTAAACAGCCACTGAAACCTTTACTGACCTTTGGTCTTGACCCATTACTCCCTACTTGGACACCTCCGATGGCCTCAATCCCAGTGCAGGCCTGTGTGTTGGACACCCACCCCTCTGTGCTGGTCCCTGTGTGTCCTTTTGCCACCCCACCCTTCCTACTCCGTCCTCCAGGCCTCCCAAAGCCAGCCATCCTCACACACGAGCGGGTGCTACAAATGAGCAAGATGCTGTCCTTGTGTGGGGCCACAGCAGACGATGTGGTCTACACGGTCCTGCCTCTGTACCACGTGATGGGGCTTGTCCTTGGGGTCCTTGGCTGCTTAGAACTTGGTAAGCCCTTCTCTGAGTCCCTCCAACCTACAGGACCACTGGAGTGAGTGTCAGGATGGGACTGTTAAGGCAAAGAGACCTCACAGGCTACCCGGCACCCTGAGTTCTGAGTTTTGAGAAGGGACACACAGCAATGAGTCCCAGGACCACATGGACAGAAGCTTGAACACCCAGACATTCCCTAATGGGTGTGCTTTGGTCAGGAAGTGACAAGAGCTGATATGTAGCTGGGTGTGGTGGTGCATACCTATAGTTCTAGCTACTTGGAAGGCTGAGGGGGAAGGATCACCTGAGCCCAGCAGGTTGAGGTTGCAGTGGCCGTGACCATGCCACTGCCCTCCAGCCTGGGTGACAGGGTGGGACACCAACTCAAAAAAAAAAAAAAAAAGAGCTGATATGAGTGATGGTCATGGGCATCCAGGGAAGCTGAGGTGCTGGAGAGGTGTTGGCATGGATCCAGGAGAAGCTGGGGAGGGAATGTTCCCCAAGCACTGCATGGGGTTGTCTCCCTGGATACCTGACTCAGAATTTAGACTGGGATCTCTCCACAGTTTGTTCTTTTTAAAAATTTTTATCATGAAATATTTGAAATAACCTTTTTTTTCTTTTTTTGAGTCAGGGTCTCACTCAGGCTGGTGCAAGCACAACTCACCACAGCCTCATCTTCCTGGGCTCAGATGATCCTACCACCTCAGCCTCCTGAGCTCCCAAGTAGCTGGGGCTACAGGCATGCTTCACTATGCCCAGCCAATTTTTTAGTTTTTTTGTAGAGATGAGGTTTCATTATGTTGCCTAGGCTGGTCTTAAACTCCTGGGCTCAAGCAATGCTCCTGCCCTGGCCTCCTAAAATGCTGAGATTACATGTGTGAGCCACACGCCCAGCTTGAAACACAAATATTTCTAAATGTTTGCTACATGAATTATCATGAATCCATCACCCAGCTTCAACACTACCAGCATTTTACTGTACTTGTTTCATTTATCACTTTCCCTCATTCTCACTCATCTTTTTATTTATTATTATTTATTTATAGAGAGACAGTCTCACTCTGTACCCAGGTGACAATGAAATGGCATAGTCCTAGCTCACTGAAAGACTGGCCTCAGCCGGGCTCGGTGGCTCAGCCTGTAATCCTGCGCCTTTGGGAGGCTGAGGTGAGTGGATTGCCTGAGCCCACGGGTTCGAGACCCACCTGGGCAGCGAGACCTCATCTCTACAATAAATAAAAAAATCAGCCGGGCATGGTAGCGCATTCCTGTAATTCCGACTGCTTGGAAGGCTGAGGTGGAAGGATCACTGGAGCCCAGCAGGTCGAGGCTGCGGTGGCTGGGAGCGGCCACTGCACTCCAGTCTGGGCAACTCAGTACGACTCCAACTCAAAAAAAAAAAAAAAAAAGACTGGGCCCAAGCAAGCCTCCTGCCTCAGCCTCCTGAGTAGCTAGAATTGCAGGCATATGCCACCATGCACAGCTAATTTGTAAATTTCTTGTGAAGATGGAGGCTTGCTATGTTGCCAGGGCTGCTCTTGGACTTCTGGCTGTAAGTGATTCTCCCACCTTGGCCTCCCAATGTGCTGGGATTTCAGGTGTGAGCCATCATGCCTGGCCTACTCTCATTACTTTTTTTTTTTTTTTGAGTCACTCTGTCACCCAGCTGGAGTGCTGTGGCACACTCATAGCCACCCCAGCCTCGACCTGTTGGGCTCAGGCAATCCTTCTGCCTCAGCCTTCTAAATAGCAGGAATCACAGGCACATGCCATCATGTCCAGCTAATTTTTTTTCTTGATTTATTGTAGAGATAAGTTCTCGCCACGTTGCTCAGGCTGGTCTCAAACCCATGGGCTCAGCAATCCACTCACCTCGGCCTCCCAAAGTGCTGGGATTACAGGCTGAGCCACTGAGCCTGGCAAAAAAAAATTTTAATCATTCTTGGCAAGAACCTTGGTGGGGAAGCTTTGGGCTTCCTAACTCATTACACCGGAGACAGCTCATGCCTGTTATCCTACTTTGGAGAAGCTAAGATGGATTGGGAAAGCTTCCCATTAACCTTCTCCCTGTTGAATTTACTGGTTCTTGAAGACCTTTCCTGAATCAGATGTTTCATTTGGGTTTGCAAACAAAGCTGTAGCTTTCAAGGAGCAGGTACTCATTTTCAGAGAGGGCATTATATATTACCCTCCACCAAAAATAGTCTCAGCTGGGCACGGTGGCTCAAGCCTATAATCCCAGCACTTTGGGAGGCTGAGGTGAGAGGATTGCCTGAGCCCACGAGATTAAGACCAGCCTAGGTGACTTGGCAAGACCTTATCTCTACAATAAATCAAAAATTAGCCAAGTGTGTTGGCGCATGTCTGTGGTTCCAGCCACTTGGAAAGCTCAGGCAGAAGGATCACCTGAGCCCAGCCGGTTGAGGATATGGTGGCTGTGAGAGTGCCACTGCCCTCCAGCCTGGGCAACACAGTGAGACTCCGACTCAAAAAAAAAAAAAAAAATACAGCCTTGGCTGGGCTTGGTGGCTCAGCCTGTAATCCCAACACTTTGGGAGGCCGAGGTGAGGTGAGTGGATTACCTGAGCCCGTGGGTTGGAGACCCACCCAGGCAACTTGGCGAGACCTAGTCTCTACAATAAATCAAAAATTAGCCGGGTGTGGTAGCATACACCTGTAGTTCTGGCTACTTGGAAGACTGAGGCAGAAGGATTGCTGGAGCCCAGCAGGTCGAGGCTGCGGTGGCTGGGAACGTGCCACTGTACTCCAGCCTGGGCGACAGAGTGAGACTCCAACTCAAAAAAAAAAAAAATACAGCCTTAAAGAAGACACACACTTGTTACTTCACCAACCACATGAGCAACTCTCCCCTTGGATGCAGGGATGATGATATTTTGCTTGTAGGGTTTTATTGAAGATTAGGGTTGAAGTAGAGAGAGTGCCCTCCCCCAAGCCAGATGCAGAGGGGGAGATCAGGAGGGATTCACCCTTCTAGAATGAATACAGTGGCCACTAAATTTTATTAATCCATGTGTGCATCCATCAGTACATCCATACACCCATTTACCAACCCCCAATCCATCTACTCATGTCTTCTCACCCATCCATTCCCTGCCTACCCTATCTATCCTTCCATCCTTACACCCATAAATCCATCTTTTCTCTCGTCCATCTATCCCTGCCACTACTTGTGCATGTACTCATTCACCCACCTGATCTATCCATTCACCCACTCATCCATTCACCATAGCCATCCACCTGCCCATGCATCTGTCTAACTGAGCACTCGTTTATCATAATCAAGAATGGTTAATATCCATAGCCTTGATTGAGCAGTGCTCACTTTGTCCCAGGAACTGAGCTTTCCAAGCATCCTAGAGACAGGATTTGAGCCCAGACCTGCCTATGATTTTCTTATGAGAGTAGTCCTGGCTGGACCAAGGGCACACAAATGAGCTCAATATTGTTCTGTGTTTCAGGGGCCCTCAGTCAGGAGATCCAAGCAGCTCCTCACAGCCACTTGGAAGCATGACCTGAAGCCCCTTCATCTCTTCCCTTCCAGGAGCCACCTGTGTCCTAGCCCCCAAGTTCTCTGCTTCCTGCTTCTGGGATGATTGCCGGCAGCATGGCGTGACAGTGATCCAATATGTGGGCGAGGTCCTGCGGTACTTATGTAATACTCCCCAGGTGAGGCTCTATGAGGCTCCATGATGAACACGCTAGGTATGAAATCCCACATGATATCTCAGATAAAGCTCTCAGGTAAAGATTCAGGTACTGGACTCAAGCAAGGCCTCTCAGGTAATATGCCCCATGCCCTAGATAATGAGTTCCATGCACGGTTTCTGATAGCAATTCCTCTGATGATCAGCTGTGCTACTTTGGGCAAGTGGCTTGAACTCTCTGAGCCTCAGTGTCCTCATTTGGAAAACAGGGATAATAATAGCCCAAGGAGGTATTGTGATAATTAAATGAATTAAATATATGCAAAGTGCCTAGAACAGGGTGTGGCTCAGTGTAAACTCACTAGATGTAAGCCAGCCTCATCCTTACAGAGCAATGAGGTATGGTCTCCAGGCAACATCACTGGGTATCCCTCTATGTAACCTCTCAGAAAAAGAGCCCCCCTAACTACCCCCATGTAAGGCTCTTGGGTAACCCCTCAAGACACTCCCCCAGGTTGTTTCCAGGTAATGGTCCCCAGAATAACCCCCAAGGTCACAGTTCCAGGTAACTACTCCCAGGTAAGATCCCAGATATGTTCCCCAGGTAAGACCTTAGATGAGGGCTCCAGTCACTCCTAGGTAGTTTCCCTCAGGCAAGGCTCTCAGGTAACCCTCCAGGTTACCTGACTCAAGTCATTACTCTTAAGTAAGAACCCCAGAATTAGCCAGGCATAGTGATGTATGCCTGTAGTTCCAGCTACTTGGAAGGATGAGGAGGAAGAATCACCTGAGCCAGGTCCAGGCTGTGGTGGCTGTAAGTGTGCCACTGTACTCCAGCCTGGGTGACAAAGAGTGGACCTCCAACTCCAAAAAAAGAACCCCAGGTAGATCCCCTAGGTAGAGGTCCCTCATCACCTCCCAGGTAACTCCCAAGGTAAGAATCCAAGGTAAACCCCCCTCTAGGTAAAGGTTTCAGGGAATGCCCCAAGGGCACCTCCTCCTCACCCTTTTGGGGATGTCCCTGTAGCGACCAGAGGACCGGACACATGCAGTTCGCCTGGCGATGGGCAATGGACTCCGGGCTGACGTGTGGGAGACATTCCAGCAGCGCTTTGGTCCCATTCGAATCTGGGAAATCTATGGTTCCACGGAAGGCAATATCGGCTTAGTCAACTATGTGGGGCGCTGCGGGGCCCTGGGCAAGATAAGTTGCCTCCTTCGAGTGAGTGGGTTATGTGCCTGGCATGACAGTGACCCTGACTGAAGCTAAATTGGTAGAGGACCTCTACCAACACTCCCAACCCTCCACCCCAGATGCTGTCCCCTTTTGAGCTGGTACAGTATGACATGGAGATGGAGGAGCCTGTGAGGGACAAGCAGGGCTTCTGCATCCCTGTGGGGCCAGGTATGGGGACTGGGGAGCCTTTCTTGGGTGTGGGAGGGGTGGAGACCCTCCGTTTCCTTCTTAGCTGGAACAAGCTGCCCAGAGCCTTAAGACTGGTCCCCGGTAAAGGTCCTGCAGCCCTCATCTGGACCCTGAGTCCCTGGCCTGACCACCATCTGGGCTCATCTGTCTTAGTTTCTTGGCTCTCCCCATCTGCCCTGCCTCAATCTCTTGCTGTGGTCTGCTAGGTCACTAGGTGTCCATCTGAGCTGTTCTCTAGCACTTTCTGTGGAGGTTACATCTTCCTAGATATTGGTCCCTTGTCCTGTACCTTCTCTTAGAGTTTTCTCTCTCCTGGGCCTTGCAAAGTCCTCGTCATATCTCTTTTTTCCCACCACCATTTGTCTCTAGCTCTCTTCCAACCCTTGTTCCTTATTTTTCCCCTTTTTTGAGTCGGAGTCTCACTGTATTGCCCAGGCTGGAGTGCAGTGGCATGCTCTCGGCCACCGCAGTCTCAACCAGCTGGGCTCAGGCCATCCTTCTGCTTCAGCCTTCCAAGTCGCTGGAACTACAGGTGTGCGCCACCACGCCCAGCTAATTTTTTTTTTTGCATTTATTGTAGAGACGGGGTCATGTCGCCTAGGCTGGTCTCAAACCCGTGGGCTCAGGCAATCCTCTTGCCTCGGCCTGCTGGTATTACAGGCATGAGCCACTGCGCCCAGGTCCTTGTTATCTTTTTCCTGTTTTTCATGGGCTCCCTGATGCTGCCTTCTCCCTGCTTCTGTCTCTCATTTTCTGTGGCCCCGTCCCAGTCTCTCAGGGTCTCTACCTGGCAGAGTAGGAGGTGACGCAGAGTCCACCGTCGCTGAAACCTCCAGCAAGGGGTTTCCGGGTGGGCTCCAGGTGTTCTTGTTCACGACCAATACTCCACCCCCATTCCCACCGCCAGGGGAGGCGGGGCTCCTACTGACCCGGGTGGTGGGCCACCACCCGTTCCTGGGCTACCGCGGACCCCGAGAGCTCTCGGAACGGAAGTTGGTGCAGGACGTGCGGCGCCAAGGCGACGTTTACTACAACACCGGGGACGTGCTGGCCATGGACCGCGAAGGCTTCCTCTACTTCCGCGACCGCCTGGGGGACACCTTCC